AAAAGATGGGTAGAAAAGAGCAATCGATAGAGGAAGATCGAAAATTAGGGATTTAATTGTGTATATACAGTGATTTAATCATAAATTTGTTAAAATATGAGGGTAAAATAAGTATAATTGACATATTTCATTAAAATGAAGCCAAAAGCACGAGCAAAATCTCCAACTTTGTGCTTTTTCCATTTTCAAAAGGTGGAAGCTAGGATTAGCTTTTTAGGAGCTCAAGCCAATTTCAAAAGTTTGGCTAGTTGGTGCAGCTAGACCTTTTAGATTTCAAAAGCACTTCTTACCAATTGCACCAAACATGCACTTCATTTCATGCTCCAAATCCGTTTTTTATTTTATTTATTATTACTCATAAAGGCCCCCAACTTTATTTTACTTTCAAGTGGACCCTACCCAAAGCTTGGCATAATATCTAACCTCAAAGTTGAGATTTGGAGGATTTAAATTGGGACTTGAAATTGAAGCAAATTTAGGCAATACCAACATTGAGATTGAATCATATTCAAATGTTGTCATCCAATTACTCAAGGAAACTATTATGCCTTATAACATGCACCTTCTTTCCATCAATTCTTGCATGTCATTGACCTAGCAATTCATAGGCATGTGTAACTTAGGTATCTTATCTATGAAACCAACTTTGTTGCATATACACTTGCTAAATATGGAGTTCTTTCTTTTAACTAAATCATATCACATCATACCTTCTAAGGTAAAACCCAAACCAAATCTATTAGATTTTGCTAATTTTGGGCACTTTTTTTTTTAGCCAAGAACTTCTGTGTCATATTACCATTGACATAAAACCATAAACAATAAATATTTCCTGTTTCAAATTTTAACAAATTTTATTTACTTTGATATCAAATAATGATTAAAGTGTTATTAGAAAAAAAAAAAAAGTTTGTTATCTAGTGATTCGTATTTTAAATTTAAGAATTGGCAATTTTCCAGTCTTGGCTTCAGGCAATTCGGCTCCTCTGCCTCCTTTAACACGATTGCCCTATTAGGAAAAAAAAAAAAAAACAAGGCACCAAGGGATGAAATGAGGAGATTCGGACTCAATTGAAAAGAAATTAAGGTTTAGGACATAAAATTGTATTATCCAAAGATAAATCCCAAAGAAAAAGGGGATCTGACAGACAGAAAAAGATTTCTAAACTCAACAACTCCCGAAGTCGACCTAAAAAAAAAATGGAGACGGAGATTCAGCAGAAAAAGCAAGAAATCTGTCATCTTCCTCACTGTTGTCGCAGATGTGTGGACTTTCCCGCCAAAACAATCCACCATTAACGGTCACCGCAACCACCGCAGCACCATGATCGTACCTCACGTCTCATTTCTGTTCAAATCTTCGGTCTTCATACTTCTTCTGTCCCTCTCTCTCCTCCATTTCAAGCCCCCGCAAAATACGCGCCAAACCCTAGCCCTAACGCATAACCGAACTGAAACAGTTAGCGGAGCGGCTCCGAGAAACTATATAGTCCGGTTCAGGGAGTACAAGCAGGCCTCGGATTACCGCTCTTACCTGGAAACGAGTCTGCGATCTGAGGGGTGGAAATGGATCGAGAGGCACAATCCGGCGGCCAAGTACCCGACGGATTTTGGGCTGGTAGCCATCGAGGAAGCTTCCAAAGATGGAGCGATAATGGAGATTGAGAAGCTGGGACTAGTTAAGGATGTGAATCTGGAAGTTAGCTACAACAGGGGTTTGCTTGCCGGTTCTTTTGAGGACGGGAAAAAAGGGCCGGGGAAGATTTTAACTTCGATGTCTTTTAGCGAAGGGGAACATTCTTATGAGTCAGAATTGAGTAATTCTTCGATTCATTGGGGACGCCATCTATTGATGCAGGTGAATTTTTATTACAAGAAGTATCTTTTGTATTAGAAAATAATCTTTGGATGCTAATTCTGTGCCTTTAATTTTCATTACAAGAAAATTGGGATGTAGATATGGAACGTTCTTTCTTTCATGATCAGAAACAGTTCTTTTTTTAAAAAAGAAGATACTCAAGAAATGCTTTCTTGTGGATGCACCACCTCTAATATCTATCTATTTATTGCAGAAATCTCAAGTTACTTCCTTGTTTGGAGCAGATGTTCTTTGGGCAAAAGGGTATACTGGTGCTAAAGTCAAAATGGCCATATTTGATACTGGAATACGTGCCAATCATCCACATTTTCGTAATATCAAGGTATCAATGGTTGGCAATGGAGCAAGTTTACCTTTTCTTTTTCTGTTTAGCAAAAATGTGATGTTTATATAGATGAATACAAATTATTAGGGAGGGAAGTGAGAGATTTCCACTACCCACAGTCATCCACGTACACAACACTTTAATCTCTCCAAATTCAATAGGGTTACCAGTTTAGTTGTCACTGGAGAAGCTGCTATTGACTTTTTAAGCATTTTCAGGAGCGAACCAATTGGACCAATGAGAATACTTTGAATGATAACCTTGGACATGGTACATTTGTTGCTGGTGTTATTGCTGGTGAGGATGCAGAGTGTCTTGGTTTTGCACCAGATACTGAAATTTATGCTTTTCGAGTCTTCACTGATGCACAGGTAATGTTAGTGTTAGGGAAATTTTTTATTAATTTTGTGAATTAAATGGGAGTAGGCAAGATAATGAGATGCTTGCATCTGTTGAAACCCAAGGTTTTCCCTTTAGACATTTTATTGGTCCATTAAATTTGGCAAGATTATGAGAAGTTTGTATTCAGCTTACTGCAGGTGTCATACACATCCTGGTTCCTCGATGCATTCAACTATGCCATTGCTACTGATATGGATGTGCTAAATTTGAGCATAGGTGGTCCTGATTACTTGGATCTTCCATTTGTAGAGAAGGTAAGACTCCAAATCATGTTCAGGTGTCAACCAAGATGGCATTATGTGGTTGGGAATACAAATTTTTAGGTCAACCTGCAGAAAAAGTGTAGGACTTCGTGTGAAAAGACTTAAATACCATTAATGAATCAATGCATGAGTGATTCATTAAGGGTATTTAAATAATTTCACTGATATTCCTGTTTTTTTAATTCGAGATTGACCTAAAAAACATTTTTCTGTATGTGGCTTAGGAAAATGGAAATCATAAAAACATTTCTAATTTTGACTGCTGTACTCTACTTTTGTAAGTTTGCAATTTGTAATTAAAGTTGGTCTCTAAGGCACTTCAAATTTCAATATTCTTAAATTGTGATCTCTTTTCAATGAAATTACTAAATTTTCTGAAAATTTTTTGTATTTATTTCCATTCAATTACTATCTTACATTAAATAAAATAATCTTCCTTCATATTCCAGAAGTTATCTTCTGCATTTTGGATAGATAAATTGTACCCTTTTTCTTCAGCCTTTAAATTTTGAGGAAGAGTGCTTGACATAATTATTCATTTACTTCCAAATCACTGCAGGCATCAGTTCTTGAAGCTGCATACATCATGACATTAGAACCTTCCATTAACTCTTTCTGTGCACAAGCTCTTAGGCATGCATCCTTTTGAATGTAATGCTACTGAAGCCCTTGTGTAATTGCTCTCTGCCTACTCATTTTCTAGGTTTGGGAGATAACAGCAAACAATATCATCATGGTATCTGCAATTGGAAATGATGGACCACTTTATGGCACCTTAAACAATCCAGCAGATCAAAGTGATGTTATTGGTGTTGGTGGTATTGACTATAGTGATCACATAGCTTCATTCTCCTCACGTGGAATGAGTACTTGGGAGATTCCTCATGGGTATTGTATCTTTTTTTGCTTGTAAATACTTCCTTTTTGCTTATAGGTATCCTACTTTAGTTTTTAATGTCCTTGTGGTTAGCCATGTATAATTCATTGCTAATCTTAAGAATTCCTGAATGCTTTCTGATCTGATTTACATAGATCCTTTGAGTGAATTAATCTCATAAAACATGGTTGGGAAAGCTTAGCTCCTACTTGTGGAAGCAGAAATAGAATTTGTTTGCTGTTTATGGTTATTCCCATAAAATGTTCTCTTTCAGTCTTATTTTTTCATTGCACTGTTGTTTGGTTATAGATCTTTGTCATCTAGACAACTACCTTTCCCATATAATAAAATGTAGTCGATATAAACACCGGTGCTTGGTGGCTCCCCCAAAAAAAACACTAGTGGTTCCTCCCCAGCCAGTGTTAACTTTGAGTCCCCTAAGTCCAATGACATATTGACATGCTTCTTATCTCTTGGATGGAATGGAGCCTCTAAAACTGGAGGACTGCATTCACCTTTCTGTCCTCTTGACTTGATCTTTCAATTGGGTAGGGTATGCTGTACTTATGATTTTCCACTTAGATTTCTATTGACTCGTTTTTTGAAAACACTGTGCTTGTGGTTATGATATTGCACCTAGATTTCTTATTAATGAATTCCATGTGCTAGAGTTTTCTTCCCCCTCAAACCATTCAAGCGTCAGTGCTGCTTTTTATGATTTTTTTTTTTTAATTTCTTCCTGAGTACCAATCTTAAGAAGGGTTTTTATTCTGAATTCATGCTTTCTGTTTTAAAGCTCCTTGTCTTTCTTTCTGAGCAAACATGCTTTATGAAAACTAATATCTAGAGATTTAAAACTAATTTGTCTGCAGTTATGGTCGTGTCAAACCAGATGTTGTTGCATATGGACGAGAAATTATGGGATCCAAGATTAGTACAGGCTGCAAGAGTTTATCAGGGACTAGTGTAGCAAGTCCTGTGGTGGCAGGTGTGGTATGCCTGCTTGTCAGTGTTATACCTCAGAACAAAAGAAAGGAGCTTCTAAATCCAGCAAGCATGAAACAGGCACTGGTTGAGGGAGCTGCTAAGCTTGCTGGTCCTAACATGTATGAACAGGGTGCAGGGAGAGTTGATCTGTAAGTTGTCCCAGTCATGGGTTCTCACCTAATGTGTAGGATTTGTGTCTTTCTTATGTATATATTTTTTGATTTTTGGGCCAGTATTTCTTCTATTTAATTTGTTCATCATTGTTGTTTTAGGCTTCTTTCTATTTCCTCTTCCTTTTTTTTTTTTCTTATTATCAGAATCTCTAGTCCCTGATCAACAGCTCTAATTTTTCATTTCTTCAGGTTAGAATCATATGAAATCCTGAAGAGCTACCAACCTCGAGTGAGCATCTTCCCTAGTGTTCTTGATTATACAGATTGCCCTTATTCCTGGCCCTTTTGTCGTCAGCCACTCTATGCTGGCGCTATGCCAGTGATATTCAATGCTACAATTCTGAATGGAATGGGTGTCATTGGCTACATTAAAAGCCCGCCAACATGGCATCCTTCTGATGAGGAAGGAAATCTTCTAAGCATTCATTTTACTTACTCAGAAGTTATTTGGCCATGGACTGGTTATTTAGCATTGCACATGCAAATTAAGGAAGAGGGTGTTCATTTTTCTGGAGAGATTGAAGGCAATGTAACTGTTACAGTATTCAGTCCTCCAGCCCATGGAGAGACATTTCCACGAAGGAGTACTTGTATGCTTCATTTGAAATTAAAAGTGGCTCCTACACCCCCTAGATCAAAACGAGTTTTATGGGATCAGTTTCACAGTATTAAATATCCTCCTGGATATATTCCCCGAGACTCATTGGATGTGCGCAATGACATTCTTGATTGGCATGGTGATCACCTTCATACAAATTTTCATATCATGTTCAATATGTTACGTGATGCTGGTTATTATATTGAAACACTTGGTTCTCCTTTTACATGCTTTGATGCTCAGCAGTATGGGACACTTTTGCTTGTTGATCTTGAAGATGAGTACTTCAAAGAAGAAATTGAAAAGCTGAGGGATGATGTGATTAACACTGGGTTAGGGTTGGCTGTATTTGCTGAGTGGTATAATGTAGACACAATGGTCAAGATGAGATTTTTTGATGATAACACAAGGAGTTGGTGGACACCAGTTACTGGAGGTGCAAATGTTCCAGCTTTAAATGATCTTCTAGCCCCATTTGGGATTGCTTTTGGAGATAAAATTTTGAATGGTGATTTTTCTATTAATGGTGAGCAGAGTCGATATGCATCTGGAACAGATATTGTGAGGTTTCCAAGAGGTGGATATGTTCACAGCTTTCCTTTCCTAGATAGTTCAGAAAGTGGAGCCACTCAGAATGTGTTGCTGAATTCTGGCATGAACAAGGTGATTAGATAAATCTTTTTCTTATTGCTTTTTGGTTGAGCATGTGAATTCTGAGAGGGAACTTGCCACTGAATCATACCTGAGGATAATTTTAGTTGCTTAGATTTTTTGAATGATGATCTAAATTTACAGAGATTGTCATAATCATCCTAGGCAGAATCAAGATTGCTCATGGAGCATAATTCACACTTCATGTTAACTTTGTGTTTGTGATGTAGATACTAAAAGACTCTTTTCTTCACTAACATAAATGAATAGCATGCACTTGCATGCGCTGCTTACCATTATAACTTTCTAGAACCTGTGATGTTATTTTTCTTGTGAATTTTCTGGTCTTGGAACAAATTAATTAATGGGTTTTGTGGACATGCAGGCAGACTCCCCCATTCTCGGCCTTCTAGAGGTTGGAGAAGGTCAAATTGCTGTATATGGAGATTCAAACTGTTTGGACAGCAGTCATATGGTTACCAATTGCTATTGGCTTCTCAAGAAAATATTGGATTTTACCAGTTCAAACATTAAAGATCCAGTGCTTTTCTCTGATTCTGCAAAGCAAGATAAACCTTTGTATGAAGATGATAACCAATTGCCATCTCGAAGAACTGATGTAAATTTCTCTACATATTCTGCTGTTGTGAGAAAGGATTTACTCTGCCGGAGTGACTCTAGATTTGAAGTGTGGGGAACCAAGGGGTACAATCTACATGTTAGGGGAAGGAACAGAAGACTGCCGGGCTATCCCATTATTGATCTGGGAAGAGGTTTAAACACCTCTGCAGATGCCTCCAGATCAAGGCGTTACAGGTCTACTGAGAAAAAAAATAGTGGTGATTCTTTTGGAAACAAGTACTTGGGACGGTGGTACAAAGATGAGGTAAGACTAGCATGAGATTCGTTCTAATTGCTTCTTTCCTCGTATAACTAAACCTGACAAATATCGTTCTCATTGTAGCTTGATATGCCTGTGCTGGTTCCTAGTCATTGGCTCATACCTCTGGTAGTCATGGTTACAGGTTAGTTACCGTCTCCTAACCTCTGAACATGAAGAAACCTACGTGTTTCCTGCCCTTCATTTTAAACTGTCTCAACTGTTGTTCAGGCATTCTACTATTTTTGAGCATTTGGCGGATACGACAGAGGCGAAGGAGGCGAAGGCGAACCGGCTCTGGTCGATTGGCCAATCTATAGCCTTTCTGATAACATTCTCCTTTAACAACCTTACTGGGGCAATGTTGCTTCTTTGATAGTTTTCATAGCAGCACGGTACACAGATTGTAGCAATTACTATGAGTTCTTGTATTAGCACAAATTTTCACGGTAATGAAATGAGTTTTTTCGTTTAAGACAATTTTCATTACAAAGGATAAATCAGAAAGCAATTCCACTCAGTATGGGGTTTTTGCATGTATGTTGGAGATTAATATTCGGTGTGATGAAGCATCACGCATGCGTGTAATTATGCGAGTATTTAGCTGGAAAAGTAAGAAAAATGTCAACCTGCAATGAGAAAAATGTCGAGTCCATGGCATAATTAATAGCACTATAGAAAAGGGAACAAAATACTCATCATTAATTTCAAGGAAAGAATAAAATACATTTCTCATTTACTTGAACTGGGGTAAATTGATTGGAAACCTGCCCTTAATTAATTAATCTTAATGAGTGATTCAATAGTTAAAAAATAAGTTAAACATTTTAAATTCAAGTTTTGAATCAAGTGAAGAAAAATTTTAAAATAAAAAAAAAAAAATTTTTTTTTATATATTTCATGATCAAATGTAAAAAAAAAAAAAAAAAAAAAAACATGTTAACTTGTTAGAGAATTAATTGAACATCACTGTTACGGTGGCCTCCACTTTGAAAAGTGAGATAGACAAAATGTCTACTTAACCTTATTTTTTGGGAAGGTGAAAAAAAAAAAAAAAACATTTTCTTCATGATTTTACAGTATATGGATAAATGAAAATAGTTGGTTTGGTGTGATTCCACTTGGTTAGATTACGCACAATCTCAGGTGAGTTGACAATATACAGTAAAAATTTTATTTCATATCAAAGTGTAGGTCTTCTTAAAAATAATTGTAATATACTTTTAAAAAAACTCTCCTTGTTAAAAAATTAAATTAAATTATAAAATAATAATTATTAAAATTATAAAATTTTTTAAATGTTTAAGTATAGAACAAATTGTAAAAAATATTTGTATAAAATATTTATTTTATTTTATGTACTTTCAACATATGTGAATGTATGTAAAATTTTGTATTTAATTTTTTAAATTATATTAAATTATAAAAAAAAAATTTTGATATTAAAAATATCAAAATATATAATAATAGTTACATAATAAATTTAATAAAACTAAAATTCATACTATATTTTGTACATGTAATACTTATGATTAAAATTTTTGGTATTTTTAATACCAAAATGTCTTAAATTTTTCCTTTTCTTAATTATAAAATATATTAATGGTTAAGTAAAGAATTTAGTA